TTCCTTAAAATAGTTACAAAGAAGAATAATTTCACTAATAAAGTCTCTTTCTGACAGCAAAATGGTATATTAGACTACTGGTTCTCAACGTGTTGGTGTGCAAACATCTGGATGAAAAACTATAAATGGTAAAAGTCCCCTTGGGATATAAATGGTAAAGACCCCTTGGGATGTTTCCAATTGGAAAAATTTCAAACTGAGAAGGTTCCTCCAGCCACTGCAGTTTGCTATAATTCTGAAGAAGAAGGGGAAGGGGGAGAAGAAGAGGGGAAATGAGGGGGAGGGAGGGGATCAGATGTAAAACTATGAAAACCACTCACCTACTCTAACCTACCTGTTCCCTGTTTCTCACTGAAGCAAGGGATTGGGTGCAAAGAGAACTAGAATAAATTTCACATGTGATAGCTTTCTACATCTCCTTTTCCCAGAATTTTCTCAATAGCTTGGCATCCCTTACCTTGGCCAGGGTCAAGGGAAAGTGGGATATAATTACATCTCTTCCAATTCAAGCTGGCCACAGGTATACTATCAGTAGGAAAATTAGCTCTTTTTTTTTTTTTTTTAATTCTCACCCGAGGATATTTTTCCATTGATTACCAGAGACAGTGGGATGGAGGAAGGGAGAGAGACACAGAGAGAGAAACATCGATGTGAGAGAGACAGATCTACTGGCTGCCTGCTGCAGGGCTGGGGCAGCGGATCAGGATGGAACCTGCAACCCTTCGGCCCACAGGCCAACGCTCCAACCGCTGAGGCAAACCGGCCAGGGCAAAATTTGTTCATTTTTTTATTGTTCAGTTTATGGCAACTAGAAAATATAATCGCTGCTTTTCTGTCTTTTCTCAAAGCGATGACAAAGATTTCCACCCAGACATCAAGACTACCAGACATGACATCCTGGGCCAGTCCTGAGGACCCTTCGCTGACTTGAGGAGGCCCCGAGGACACTGTGAGGACCACCAGTTGACATGATCTCCACCACTGCATCCCGAAAGGCGATTTGGAAATGTCACTTCCCCCAGTCTTCTCTATTTTTAAAATCCTCACCTGACAATATGTTTTTATTGATTGGGGTGGGGAGCATCAATGTGAGAGAAACACTGATTGGCTGCCTCGTGTACACACCCTGACCAGGATCAAACCCAGAAACTTTTGGTGTATCAGATGATGCTCCAACCAACTGAGCCCCTCAACCAGGGCCCAATTCCTTTTTGAATGTTTTTATTGAGGTATAATTTACACATTACAAGATGCGCATTTTTTGTTTGTTTGTTTGTTTGTGTTTTGTGGTATGTGCCCCTAGCAGGAACTAAACCCGGGACTCTCTGGTCCACAGGCCGACGCTCAATCGCTGAGCCAAACTGACCAAGGCAAGATGCACATATTTTAAATATACATTTCTATTATTTTTTTTATTATTATTATTTTTTATCCTCACCCGAGGACATTTTTCCATTTTTTGTACAGATAGAGTGGGAGGGAGAGAGAGGAAGGGAGAGAGAGAGAGAAACATCGACGTGAAGGGACACATCGAGTGGCTGCCACCCGCACGACCAACCAGGGCCGGGAACAAACTGCAACCGAAGTACGTGCCCTTAGCGGGAACCGAACCCGGGTCTCTCCGGACCGCAGGCCGACGCTCTAACCGCTGAGCCAAACTGGCCAGGGCCAATTCTATTATTTCTGATGAAACTATATACCCATCCCAATCAAGGTACAATGTAAAGTCATTTTTAAAGGAAACTTATTATGTGGATAGACCCAATAGTAATGAAACACAATAGCTACTATTTCCAAATCTTACATTTGCAATCTTAGAATAGCATCCAAGATTCGAAGCTAATGAGAGACAGCATAAGAAGTAGTACATTTTACCCCATCTATAAGAATAGTTCTATTTTCCATAGTAATTTAGATAAGAAATAGAAAATGCTATAAATCACTGTAAAGTGATTTGTACTTTAAAGTACAAATCTTAACATTTGTGTGCTGAAAAGTGATTAATCATACTATATTTTCTTCTCAAATTTTCTTATACCACCACAGAAATAAAGCTTATACACTTTATCTTCCTTCCCATCTGAAAAACCTGAATTAACAGCCTAGGCCAACTTCCATCCTAGCAACGGGGTGCATGGCTACAAATAGTTCTCTTTAAGTCAAAGGAAAATAACAAATACAAGAACACCCACTCTGATGTTCCTTTATTTTGGTTTAAACCTCTCTTAACAGGCTCTTTTCAAGTCTTTGGAGCATTATTAAATGATCTGCTATTGATTTTCCGTGCTCAGCACGGGTGAAATAGAGAGGCTTGAAGCACTAATGACTGAAGTCCACTCACTGTCTAAAGGACAGGTACAAAGGCAGAAGAAGCACTTGGAGCTCATTCCTACAACCATCCTCGTAACTTAAATTCAACACCGGGGGAAAAAGGCCAGGTGGGAAATAGGGCAAGGAATTCAACTAATCTCTCTCACTTAAATGTAACGCCGCTGCTACTTGTTACTTATCTTGGGAAATTTTATAAGTATTGGTATATTTTGCTATTCAGCATGAAGCTGTATGCTTCATTTCTACCTCTGAAATCCAAATTTCCAGATAATCATTTTTAGGAAAGCATTCCTCTATTTTCAGCTTCATTTTCCATGGGCCATTTATTTGCAATCCAGAGCCATTGAGTAACTAGAGGTTACAGTAAGAATCTGTCTTGCCAGTTTCTACCTTAAAAAGAAAAGCTTTTAAGACAAACAAAGCAATTTTTTTAATGGGTAAAAGAAAAAAATTGGCACTTCACTATTTCACATAAATTCAACCTCATAAATAATCAGGAAAATGCAAATTAAAAACAAGACACCATTTCACACCCCATCAGATTAGCAAAAATTTGTAGTCTGACAATAGGAAGTGTTGATGAGGCTGTAAAATCAGTGAAACTCTCACACAAATTGGTGTGAGGGGTAAGTGCCTAAATGGGTAAAGATGATGAAAACAATTACTGTTTTTTGTTTGTTTGTTTTTTAGAGAAGGAGAAAGGGAGAGAGGGAGAAAACAAAACATTGATGTGAGAGAGCTACATTGAGCGATTGCCTCCCCAATACGCCCAAAACCTAGGTTTGTACCCTTACTGGGAATCGAACCCACAGCCTGCAGGAGCACCGTACGATGCTCCAACCAACTGAGCTACATCAGCCAGGGCAAAAACCATTATTTGTGTTTAGTAAAGTTGGTAAGCATACTTTACATCCCACCTCTTCTAGGTGCTATTAGGGAGGGGACACGTGGCAGTGGGGGAGGTGGACTCCAATTGCACCTGTAATGGGCTGACTAGTAGATGTGTTTGTTATATAATTTTCTATAGGGTTGTTGTTGTTGTTGTTGTAGGCCTGAAATTTTTCCCAATAAAGTAATACTCATATAATAAAAATAATTTTATTAAGTGAGTCTCTAGAAATGTAATTAACTGAAGGTGTAATCATGGACTTTTGGACTAATTTTAAAAATATTTTACATCTTTATTTTTGGCAAAAACAAGATTTCCAAACCAGGGCATTTAATTTCAGCAAAAAAAGAAATATATTTTTTTTTAATCCTCACTCGAGGACATTTTTCAATTTTTTGTTCATTCAGATAGAATGGGAGTGAGAGAGAGAGAGAAAGAGAGAGAGAGAGAGAGAGAGATCGACGTGAAAGGGACACATCGAGTGGCTGCCACCCACACGACCAACCAGGGCCGGGGACAAACTGCAACCGAGGCATATGCCCTTAGCGGGAACCGAACCCCGGTCTCTCTGGACTGCAGGCTGACACTCTAACCGCTGAGCCAAATCAGCCAGGGTGGAAATAATTTTAATAAGAATATTTTCTTATCATTATTACTCAGTTTTGTTTAAAATCCAAACTATCTCAGGGGAGAGGTTAAAACATGTGCCCCTTTCTCCTTAAAAGTATATATATATTTAAAAGAGGGGGATAAAGAAAGGCACTGACTCTGTAAAAAGTAGTCGTCATTTTATTCTTTCAGCATATTCTAAATTTAGGAGGAAATCTATGGCTCAGAAAACCCCTGGTGACTAGGCCCTGCTCCCAGCCTTGGCATGACCAGCCATCCCAATCCAGGCCGACTCTGTCAGGAGGCAGAATTACACATTTGCACATGGTTAAACAGTTTCGTCACCGAAGTAGATTTAAACTAGCTTTCAAAGAGGGAAAAGAAAACATTCGGTGCATTCCACATTTTCCCCTAAGTATATTGTACCGTCAAGTCATGCTGCAGTTTGCATTCCTCAGAGCTCCAAAACACTACTTAAATTGTGCACATAAATCACTCCATCCCTGGTGAAATACAGCTGTCTCCTCCTGGAGAAATAAGGGGCGACACCTGGGGTGAGGACCCCGGCTCAGCAGGAATCGATGGCAATTTGCAGGGACCCACGCTGTCTGGAAGGCTGGGAAGTTTGCGAGGTTCTCGTCCTGTTACCCATGCACCGCAATCTGTGGGTTCAAACCTCTTGTTCCAGAAAGCGGAGAGAGCTACCTCCTGACCACAGAGCCGCCGGGGCAGTCCCAGCGTGTGGGAACCGCAGGGTCACCGGGGCGGAAAGCAGCCTCCAAAGGCAGCGGTGAGCAGAGAAACTCGGAGTGAAGCTGGAAGAGGCTACAGAACCCAGAAATTCAGAAAGATATCAAGGGGGCTGCCTAAGCTCCTGGCAAAATGACTCTTCTTTTACCGAAGAATCCACCTCGGGCCTCCTGAAACGCACAGACGCGATGTGAGTGACAACAAAGCTGTTTACACATCACATACCCCGGGCTGGCCGGTTCCAGAACCAGGGCCTGCGTTCCAGACGCTTCCTCTGCAAAGCAGCAGGCCGCGGGGGCGGGGCCTGCGAGGGGCGGGGCGGGCGCGAGGGGCGGGGCCGGGCCCGGGCAGGCGGGGCGCCTGCACCTCGGCGCTCCCCGCCCGCGCCCGCGCCCGCAGGGCCTGGGGAGGGGTGAAACCAGTTCTGTCGGCCTGCCAGGGGATTTGGCGGAGCAGGGCCGGGCGATACTCGGAACGGGCCTGTTGCAAACACTCGCCTCTGCCCGGCCCGGCCCAGGGCCTCCATACTGTGCACGGACTGCATTGCCAATAAGGACCTCCGAGGAGCTAGGTAATTTCCCAGCCCGCCCCTGCACCACCCCAGCACACACACTCACACACACACACACACACACACGCACACGCACACGCACACACACACGCTCTTGTCCAGACACACGTGGGGTAGGTAGGAATTGCTAAGAGTTGCCCCCTCTCCCTACGGAGAGTGTTCAGAGCCAGCTCCAGCTGGAAGGCAGCCCTCGCTCCAGGCCCTCCGCAGGACCATGAGAGGTGGACCTCTGGAAAAGCCTGGAAGCTTCCACGTCCCTGGGCAAGAGAGAGACGTCCTCCCCTTTGGCTAGGCCAAATATTGCTCCCTCCTGTTGGGCCTGGCTTTCTCCCTAACTAAAATGGCTACATCTAACGTGGAATATCACTAAGTTGCTTTCTATTGAAGAACAGTGGGTTCTTAATTTCAGAATTAAATTCATCGCCTACTATGACAGGGCACCATGCTAGGCACTCCCACAGAAATGAACCCACTGCGTCCGTGCACAGCTGAATGGGCTGCTATTAATATCCTAGCAAGCTAAGGAAAAAGCTTAGCAGGCCATGCTATTCGGATCAAGTCCTACAGACTAGCTATTGCCTGGCTAGCTATTTCAATTCCAGGTTTCAATACTATGTAAGTTAGAAGTGACTTCACCCTTGACCTAACACAGGCAGCCCTCCAGCCCTCCATATCTAAGGGTGCCTCATTCAAGGATTTAACCAATCTCAGATGGAAAATATTTTATGTTGTTGCTGATATGTAGTTAGGCCTCCGATGGTTGTGTCTGTACTGAACATGTATAGACTCTTTTTTTCTTGTCATTATTCCCTAAACAATGCAGCATTGCCGCTATTTACATAGTATTTACATTGTATTAGGTATTATTATAAGTAGTCTAGACATGATTTAAAGTATACCGGAGGATTGCATAGGTTATATGCAAATACTATGCTATTTTATATAAGGGACTTGAGCATCCTTGGATTTTGCTATCCAGGGGGGCCTGCAACATATTCCCCAAGGATACTGAGGGCCCACTGTATTTTTCCTCACAAGTCATTTTCAGTTTCTTTTCCTATCCTTCTTTCCCACCCCTTCTCCACAAAGTTACTTTCTTCTGGACTCTGGAAAGCTGGAGAGGAGAGAGGATTAAAGGGCTTTAAGTAGGGGAAATCCTACCCATAAGAAAAGGACAAAGGCAAGGCCCGGACTTCTGCTCCTCCTGCCAAGTTAATATGGTAGGAGAACCAGCTAGGTCGGGTCTAGACATGCTTTTCTGTTCTGCAGCTCACAGAATTTTTTTCGTCCCTTTAACTTCAGTGATCTTTGGTGCCCCTGAAGGTAAGTAACACACCTGAATCATAAAGCTGCAGATGCGTTGAGTTCAAAGTTTTATTTTCTACTTTTAAAACCCTCAATAAATTATGGCAAAGGTAGCTGGAATCCAGCCTCCTGGCCTGGCGTTCCTCTGGGATTGTAAAGGTTGGCTGAGCAATCTGCTCTTGAGAAACCAGGTGTGACAAGACCTGGATGGAGAGATCCTGGGGTTGTTTTCTGAACTTTCTCCTCTGCGCCAGAGTTTGTCTGGGGCAATCCGGCAAGCTTGCCACTAGAGCTGCTGGTGGGGACCTGCCTTTGTTATGCAAGTTGCAGAGCACACAGTGTCCCAGCCCAGCATTCCTGGCCAACACAGGAAAGGGGTCCGTAGGAATTCTGGGCAGTGGGCTTAACACACCTCTTCACTCCCTCCACCCCCTTACCTCCACCCCATCATCTTTAGGAGCCCAGCTAGCTCACAATCAACAAGAGGTGACACGTCAGAGCTCTGCCACCAGTTTGAATAGAGTCATTAGGGTTAAAGTGATATAATATAGTCAAAATTAACTTTCAGCACACATCTAAGTTGATCCGAAGAAAGCAACTACTTCTGATTGTTCTCTGTTTCCCTGATCTTCATGTGGAATCATATTTTGTCCTACCTCTCTAATGTTTTTACATTTCCGGCAAAACAGTTGTTTCTTTCTAAGGCCCTTTTAAAAATTACAGTGTCAGGGATGGTCAGCAATTCCTGTGTGTTTCCCTGAGACTGTCTACCTGCAAATCTGCTGCTGTAGCAACTAACATGGTTTTGAATCCAGCTGCAAAGATGCCATTTGCTGTAGTTCTCCAGGTTGTGCTGCCTGTTTCCCCAGGGAGAACTCAGAGACCCTGGACGAGTATGTATGTTGAGACAGGAAAGGAACTGAGAGCAACAGAAGGAAGGTAGCTCCAAACCCCTGGGATGGCCCCACAATCACACCAGAATCCTGTTCTGGAAGATCTCTGCACTCAAATCAGGTTTCCAACAGCAACAATATAAGTAGGTGGGAGTGAGAACTGTGGAAGGCTCAGTGCTCTCTGGAATGAGCTTGTTGATTTTATTAATGCCTGCCTTTTCATTAGAGTGGAACTTGGAAAAAACAGAAGCTGTCTTGCAGGAAGAAAACAAAAAGAGAAAGTGAACCACTTATCAAAGATAAAGGAAATCTTTCTCACTCTGCTTTGTGTGGTGAGCTAAACCTACTGGAAGTCAGACCCAAGAGATACAGAAGCCCGCATTGATGAGGATATCATGTTGTCCGTTCCATGGGGTTTGAAAAAAGCTGAGAAATGACTCCATTCCATATGACTCTCCAGGACATTCTACAATGGTCTTCATGGTGACACCAGCTGCTTCTCCACCTCCTGTGATTTACTAGTGGGTGTTCTGCATAGGAAAGGGCCCCTTTATACTTTATTCCAATATAGTGGTCATTTTTATAACACTTTATCTCAGTGGTCCCCAAAGCATTTTATAGAGGAATCGAAATCCATTATTATGGGGAAAATGCAGACATTTAGGGAACTGAAATGAGAAAATCCTTTGGCTGAAATAATTTATCCTTTATTTCACAAAGTCTCTCAGTAACATAGAACCTGTCTGGGTGGTAAATTGATTCAAAGTCCTGGGGGAAATGACCCAAAAATTATATTTTATTTTTACTATCTTGTTAGGCTTTCTGAGTGAATTTAGAAAGTCAATGATAGTCAAAGCAGGGTACTTACACCCTTACACATCAATATTGACAGGTGTCCTTAAAAAATAAAATTAAAAACCAGCTCTTGATTTCTTACATTATGGAACAAAAAAGAATTTGTTCTAACCAGCAGACCAAAGGGCCATTCATAGAATAAGAGATAGATGAATTGGACTGAAGTGGAAATATGGGGGATTAATCTGAGTTACTGATTGTTTCTTTTCTCAAAAATCTTTCTGGCAAAGATAAATTGCACCAAATATCAATCAATTTTATGATAATAAGACTATCAAACTTATTTCATTACAACTGTCTAAACAGATTTTCCCATTTAGCAACCTATCCATCCAGAGTGTGATTATGCTCTAACTTAGGAGATTCCTTGAATCAAGTATTAATATTTGTACAGTTATTACAGTAGTTGATGATTTGTACAGGGACTCTAAAATTAAACACAACATGTCATTTATAACCTTAGAAAAGACTGTAAGTGGAAAATTATTTTCTAACCTTTGGTTTTTGCTGTAACAACTCATAAGATGACATATTCAAAGTGGTATGTATAATAAACAAACTACCTCTTTAAAGTGCACTATTTAAGCAAAATCTTTTACATTATATAGTGCAATGCTTTTCAGACTGTATTTATCTAAGGACTCTTTTCCAAACAAAATATTAACTAGAAGCCAAATAAATAAAACAGGTAGAAAGAAGGGTGCCAAGGGACAGGGAAGGAACAGATTTCATTCTTCTAACCCGTGCCAGGGCCAGACAAGTACCTTTGAGGAACACGGGGGCTCTAGGAAGTGTGAAAGCCAGTGTAGTTAAGACTTATTCAAAAGAAAATGAAAGGCCCGGCCTGTGTGGCTCAGTGGTTGAGCATCAACACATGCACCAAGAGGTCGCCAATTCAATTCCCAGTCAGGGCACATGCCCATTTTGTGGGCCAAATCCCCAGTGAGGGGCATGCAGAAGGCAGCCATTCGATATTCTCTCTCGTTGATGTTTCTATCTCTCTCTCCCTCTCCCTTCCTCTCTCTAAAAATCAATAAAGAAAAAAAAAAAGAAAATGAAAGGCACTGTTTAAGATGACATTCCTTGCAACCATATGTGTGTATGCATGTATGTGTTTGTGAATTATCATTCAATTAATATCTAGTTCCTATCTTATCATTCTTACTCTGCAGCTGCAACTTTTGTGGCATTTTATGATAGCACAAATGGATTCTGTGTCTAAGAGTTTCAAATTTTAAGTTTTTTTATCCTAACAGTACAGAAAAGGCCAGAGGACATGTTAGGTCAAAATATATGTGATCTCAATGAATTATTTAGATAAATAGTTCTATCTTGTAGAAGAACAGTAACATCTCAAGAAACACTTGTCAAATTTTGATTAAGACCTTAAAGTATTTCATCTGAAACCCTGATTGATTTTTTATTTTTATTTTTTTTACTTTAAGAACACTGAGATCCTGGAAGTTGAGGAGCCTCACCGAGGTTACAGGGGTGCATTCCGGAACCCAGTTCTCTTCCCCCTGACTCACATGCTTTTTCAATACTCTGTGTATTACATTGTATAAATTAATATGGAATTCTTACAACTTGAAAATATCAAAGTTAACTATTGACTGAAATCAGTGAAATAGTTCTGTATTTCTATAGACGAACCCAGTCTCGTTCACATTTCAGTCATAGTCAAGAAGCACGGCTTGTGTTAGATCAAAGATCATGGGAGCATCTTTAAGCAACACATGTCCCCTGCAAAAAGATTTCTGCGGGTCATACCAGGAGACAGAGAACACTACAGTATACAAAGCATCCATGCCCTCTTTGGAAAGCAGAGGTCGCATCAGCAACTGTGAGGCTGAGATGAGAAGGCTGAAAAGTTGGTGTAGAAGAGTCTGCTCTCCTTCCATCTCTGAGAACTCCGTTCACACCTAACTCTGAGCAGAAGGCGGGGAG